GCCTTTAGTTATTCTTCATGAAATAACTTTAGAATTATCAACAATAAAATTAAAGTTCTTTAAGTGCTATTTAAAAGTTGTTTAAGAGCTTTAAGGCTTAATTTAGCTGTGTGATGTAGCCGTTCCTCAACAGACACTAATGCCGGCTAGCTTTAAAAGGATTTATTAACAGAGCACACAGGAACGGTTACAAACAAAAGAAATATACATAAAAATGAAACGTATACCAAATGGAGCATCAAACATTAGAATAACAGAGATATAGTAAACTATCATCATGGCGGCTGGAGGTCGACTGACGTTTTTTCATATCGCCACGAGATGACGTTTAAATAAAATAGTTCGGTTACAGTTCATGAGTTCATGGCGTTGAATAAAATAGTTTAATTACACTTAAATAGTTCTGTTACATCTGCCACTTATTTACATCTGAAACTCTTTAATAGAATAGTGAATTAAGTCAGTTTTTGTAACTTGAGTGTTTTTTGGCCGAGTGGAATCAAAAGTAAATTTTTACTTTTGTTCACAAAAATCTGTCTTCTTGCCCACTAGCCGAATTGATTGTTTTGCGTAGAAAGTCTAATTTTAATTGTACATGTTTCTTTAAACTGTTTTTACTGTATTTATTCTTTTATGTTTTTCTTTATTTCACAAGTTTTAATAAAGTTATTTTGAGTTTTTACGTATTTTTGCTTTGCCGCGAAGTGAGAACTGAATTGATTGAATCAGATATACAAGCATATCTCAAATGAAATTTGAGGAAATAAGTGTTAATGAAATATAGCAAAATATTCGTATAATTACACAGGCCGTACAAGGAAGTCATGTAGTTTCCACATCAGATTTTTTCTTTATGTTTTACATAACTACCAGTAATAAATTATTCATAAATATTTTCTGCAGTATTACGTTATAAAATTTGGTTTTCTTAGCTATCATAAATTGCACCCAAACCTTAGATAAATTTACAGCGAATTGCTAAGTCTAAAAGTTAACGACAGAGTCTTGAAAAGGATTAAAGAAGCCTTTATATTAAATCAGAAATAGAACATAAATGCACGACACGTGTTTGCAACTCAACCAACCACTTGTGGCGATAGAATTTAAAGTAACAGTGAGTTCATATTTAAAATAAGTAGTCATAGACTACACAATTGATTTGAATTTTAAAGTTGGCTCAGAAGCCTAACTGGAATACATAGTCAAATATCGGCAATAAGATCCAAAACATAAAACAGATGGTTAGTGGAAAATAATAGTAATAACCCTACAACATGATAAATCTCATGATCATTTTCGAAAGAAAAGGCTTTTCTGATGTCATACATTATGTACCTCAGCCATGGAATAAAAGTTTATTTACATAAATAGGGAAATTCCATAAAACATAATACCCTAAAGAAGTCCTCTTTAAATCCCAATCCCGGGACATTCTAAGGATATGCTGCTGATCTTAATTCTCAGCCATTTTGACGAGTTTGTGATTTAACGTCTGTTCATTAATATTATATGCATTAAATTTTTAAATGATTATGGCAAGCGTAATCCAAAAATATTATCTTAAAAAGACTCTTATATTATATACCCATTTTGAGAAAAAAATACTTCTATATATGTTATAGTTGAGATGCTACATTAAAATTTCTTCTACAGAAAGAATTTTTCTTTTTTCCGTTTATAAATAACGTTTACCAAATTGCATTAATCAACCAAACAGCATTAACCAATGTTTTAATATTTACCAAATTAATTTTTAAATAAAGATTATACTATCATGGATATTCAAGATTATAATTTAGGGATAAATTTAAACTAAAAACTAATTGTGTAAGTAGTAAGGGCTATGAACTGTTTATTGAGCACTTTATAAGTAAAAGTTTACTTTGAAAATTTTCTTAAACGTTTTAAATTTTTTAATAAATTCTGAAAATTTGTAACTGAAATATGCATATTAATTATTCATATTTTAATGCTTCAAACAGACTCATCAGGGGTAATTATTTAAAACATTAAAACTAAACAATTAAGAAGTACTGAATAAACGTTTCGTCCTTCAAGGTCGACTCAGCCAGTGCAAAACCAAATGAAGGCAATTAAAAATACCTGAAATTTTCGACATTTCTTTACAAATGCATATTACAGGGGTGGCCAACCTGCGGCTCGCGAGCCACATGTGGCTCTCTGAAGGATTATTTGTGGCTCTCGATAAATGAACTCGAGTTCCCTTTTCATTTTTGGGTCATTATATTTTTTAAAAATATTATCGTTTAGTATGTGTTTCAAAATGTCTTTCAAATTACTGACAACAAATATGAAAAACTAAGTGTAACGTTGTAACAAATATCCTTTCCGTCCAAGTTAAGAATATGACTCATCGAAAACTGCGCGAACAATAAACAGTGGCGTAACAGTTCCGTTCGTCGGATTTTCTTACCCTTCGACTGCTTCATGAATTATAAGAAACATATGAGAGACAAGACGTTGTCTCGATTGCTTCTCGACGAATGACGATCTAGGATCTACGTAATCAACCGACTCCAGACCGATTTTAAATTTGTAAACTTTCATTGCAGCGGACAGTTGACATTGTGCTCTGGAGGAAACAATTTGTATCACTCTTGCTATTAATTTAATTTGTAATCTGGAATTTTTGGTAAGTTAACTATAATTTGTTTCGTAGTATGTAACACGTGTCGTTATTCTTTCAATAACGCAAAACATGTATTTTCTAAATTTCTTTATTATTTCCAGGTCTTTTAAAAATATGACGTCAGAGAACGAAAATAAAAAAAAATATGAGCAAGAAAATAGAAGTTTTAATACTGAGTGGGAGTATAATTTCTTTTTTATTGACAATAAAGTAAAAGCATCATGTGTTATTGGTAATTCTACGGTTAAAAATTATAAAGCAGCAATTTGCGTCAACATTATGAAACCAACCATCCTCGGTTTTCTAATCAGTATCCACCAAATTCCAAATTAAGATCAGATAAACTTGTTTGTTTAAAATCAAATTTAAATACACAACAGTCAAGTTTGACGACCTTTAGCAATCAAGCTAATAATGTGGCTAAAGCTAGTTTTGTTATTGCCTGGAATATTGCTCGTGCAAAACGTCCGTATGGAGGAGAGTTTATTTAAAAAAAAAAAAAAAAAAAAAAAAAAAAAGCCTGGAAGATTTATTTAAAGTTTTAGATTCAAATAATGCACCACTGCACAAAGCTGTTTCGCAAATTCCCATCTCGAGCCACAAAACCGAACGCCTAATAGTGCAATTAATACATTTCTTGAATATAATTTTTAAAATGATTTGAAGAACTGTATTGCATTCAGCTTAGCCCTTGACGAATCGACAGATATCACATATCTTCCGCAATTGGCAATTTTCATACGTTTTGTTTCACCTTACTTCGATGTTAAAGAAGAATAATTAGATTTAGATTTCAAGAGTCAACCCGCGGTGTCGATATTAGAAATGCATTCGATTCCATAATGAAAACTTTTGATGTGCCTGTTAATAAACTTGTAGGCATTGCAACTGATGGAGATCCGGCAATGCTGGGTAAAAAATTGGTCTTATTGGGCTTTTTAGAGATGATTCTCAAATTCTCAATTCATACCGATTCATTACATAATTCACCGAGAACATCTCGTTACAAAATATTTAAATTACGCTGATGTTATGAAAACAGTGTTAACACATGATAAACTACATTCGCACAAATGCAAAAAATCATCGACAGTTAAAAATTTCCTTGAATAGTTAAAAGACGAACTTCTTCCAAATAATTTCTTTTCCATTGCTAGATGGTTATCTAGCTACAACGTATTAAATCGATTTGTAAATTTGTTTGATCCGATAACTGTATTTCTAAAAGAAAAGAAAATAACCTATTCGGAATTAGACGATGACGAGTGGTTACGAGACTTAGTGTTTTTGACTGATTATCATAAAACATTTGCAAACACTGAATTTACAATTGCAGGGTAAAGATAAAATAATATCTGACCTCTCACAGTGTATATTTAGTTTTCAAACTAAATTAAAACTTTTTCAAAAGGACTTTAAAAATAAAATATTTTGTCATTTTCTTCGAATTAAAAAAAAAATTCTTCCAATATTAACCAAGAAAAACTCAACGAGTATATAAAAAAGCTAGAAGGAATATTGACGGAATACCAAAATTAATTTCAAGACTTGAAATATTTTAAATCGTCTCTTTTTTTTTTCGGAATCCATTTGAAAGTAACATAATTCAAGGTGAGTTTTCCATTTCCAATATAATTATGAATCAAAAAGCATCTGGAGAATTAGAATTAACAGAGATGCAAGAAGATCAAGCTCTACAATTAAAATGTAAGTCGACGCCGATTTAAATTTTGGAAATTTGTGCCATAATCGAAGTATTCTGAATTAAAAAAAGGCTGCTTGTCGAATTATTTCAATATTCAGAACAACGTACTTATGTGAATCATTTTATTTCACCTTAAAATTCGTGAAATCCAAGTACCGATCAGTATTAACTACCCAGCATCTCAAAGAATTACTGAGAAGTGCTGTCACCAATTATTCACCAAATTTTAAAGAATTAGCAAGAGGAGTAAAATAAATGTGTTTAATTTTTAGTACTTAAATTCAATACATATATTTTGTACTTTTATTTATATGTTTTCAATAAATATAATTTCTGTGAAAAAGATTTTTAATACCTTTTTTGCATACCTTTTAAATACGTATTTACTTGCGGCTCGCAAAAAATTTCAAATTTTGAAAAATGGCTCGGACTATAAAGGAGCTTGGCCACCCCTGGCATATTATTAAATTATATAGAAAGATAGTTTGAAGAATATCAAATATTCTTTTGAAAGCGAAGAAAACAATTCCATTGCTCTGTTTTATCCTCAGGCAAATATCTCCATTCGAAGTAGCATAATTTCAGATTAATTCTTTCCGAAATTAGATTTATCGAGAAGAATAAAAAGGAAAAAATCTCACTTACATTTATGAAACGAAGTATTAACACAAATTCAACTACAGTAAATGGGATCATAATATTCACCTTCATGAAATGGATTGTATTTCTTTCCTCCAACTGTATTTAACATCGCTTTGGAATGTTTGTAATTTAAGACTACATTTCATTCAAAACAGTATTTCACGTCCTATTCTCAGAATAAAATTGTAGCAGTTGTTTATTTTAAGGGTTAAAAGAAAACTTTTTGCCAACAGCGTCACAGTTTTTTTCTACGGCAGTGTTTCGAAAATGATTTCGAAAGCATTTGTTATTTTACAAATGAGCTTTAGTTATGCTCACACAATGTTCAAAGCAAACTATTCCTTTTAACAAAACAACAAAATAAATAAATAAAATAAAGTAAAATATTAAAATAAGTGCGTCTCGTAGGTGCTTCAAGAGATTTTAGATCTGGTTAGAATGGTTGCTTAAGATACCTTCTTATCGTGTTCCCCCCCCCTAGCTTTTCAGCGCCAGATTCTCCAAATTTTGAAATATTCGAGTAATTTTCCCTTTCAGAGAACGAGCTCCCCTAAACTTTAAAATGGATTCGTCCACGAAGTGACTGTTTTTGTTTTACTAACGAAGACAAACCGTCGCAAATTACCTCGAAGGTCATGTCGAAAATTTCCCTTTAAACTGTTAAACTTTATGCCAGGCTACAAGAACAGATCCAATAAAGCGAAGCAAACACGAGTTCACATATAGCCTACAATTCCGCTCAGTCAAATGTGCATTCACCTTCTCTAATTATTTATGAAAGATTTGAGGTCTAAGCATTAGCAGAGACAACAGTAAGAACGAGCCAGAATCAACGTACAAGTAGAAATGAAGATAACTTATACCGTAGTGTTGTTATTACTATATATGCCTACTGGAATGCAATTTTTTTTAAAGAAGTATTATTATAATAGTTACCTGTAATTTATTCAAAACTACTTTTTATTTGTTATATTCTTACTGTAACCGCGTCTTTCGGAAGTTAAATTATAAGCACAGTTTTCCCCTTTCGGTTATCATACGATAATAGTATTAGTTAAAAAAAAAAAAAAAAAAAAAAAAGAGGAAAAATAAGTGAGAAAGTACTGTATTGGATTTTGGACAATACAGTATTTCCTACTGGAATGTATTTTTTTAAATAAGTATTATTATGATAGTTACCTGTAATTTATTCATGACTACTTTTCATTTGTTATATTCTTATTGTAACTGCGTCTTTCGGAAGTTAAATTATTAGCACATTTTTCCCCGTTCTATTATCATACGATAATATTAGTTAAAAAAAAGTTGAAAAATAAGTGAGAAAATACTGTATTGGTTATCTTATTAATATTATTTTCAGAAAATAATGCTAAGATATGTGTAAGTTAATTTACCACCCAATCGGTAAGGAGAAAATTTGAGTGTTCGATGCCCAAACTTTATAGAAAATTTTCTCTGAAATTTGTAGAAAAATGCAGTATATTAAAAGAAAACAAATAAAACATAAAATTTTTTCCAAATTTTTTGCCTGCATTGCTCATTTCCTTAAAAAATATTTTTTCCCGAATAAACTTAATTTAAAAGTATATAATTTTTTTTAAAAAAATCCTCTGTCACACAGAGATTCGAAATGTCTTCTAGTTGGCAATTAGGTTCAGGATCATAGTGAAAATTACGAATTATAAGTGCTTTTTTAGACTCGAAACTTCTTATTTTATTTTAGACATTTATGTTGGATCCCGCAAATACATTCACTTTAAGATTCCCTGTAAGGTACAGCGTTTGGGCACAATCGATGATTACAAGTCTTGCGATCCCTGTTATGAGTCAATGTAATCACTTATATTGGACAAAACAACAGGAATTTGTGGCTGTAATAAATGCTATTTTTGAAGGAAACAAGCTGAATGACTGGTAGCATAAATTACGCTTCTCATAATTATTATTTACGTCCAAGGAAATATACCCAATTATATCTAATTTCTTAGATATAATTTATTTACGTTTAAGAAAAATTATTTTATTTTCTCTAAGTTATCCTATTTCCTCGCGTTATTTTATTTTCAAGTTATCTGATTTTTTGGCATGTTTTCCTCCTTTTCATAAATTAATTTTGTCGTCCGAAAACTGAAAGGAGAAAATTATGTGAATAGTTTAATTTCCGTAGAACGTGATTACAGTAAGAACATAGCAAATGAAAAGTGGTCATTGATAAAATACTGGTAACTATAACAATATTATTTCTTTAAAAGAAACCTACATTTCAATAAGAATACATAGTAATAATAGCTTTAAAATATCTGATGAATATTACTTTCTGAAGTCCCAGGGGCACCTCATGTGAATGAGCCTTGACCGCAGTACCTAAGAGGGACATAAGAGGAACGAATGTGATGGAAACAAATAAAAGACCAAGATTTCGAAAGAGCGAACACATCAGCAGTAGGCAAGACTACAATGAGCAGGAACATAAGGAACAGAAATAAGGTGAAATTAATGTTTCGAAAGTTTCTTAAGTATGAGAACACCTGCTATGTCCGGTTGCTTAACGAAAAACTGCACAAAAATTCTTTTCAAATAATAAATGCAAGGCAAAGTAAAATGGATGAAATACTAATAGAAAAGGTAAGATTAAATACACTAAATAAAACTATAAATAATCAACGGAATATATTTTATGATTAAACTAGCTCCCAGATGGAAAAACTAGGCACAATAGAGATAGAGGAAAATTAGGCGAATATTTTTTTAATTTTCAGAACTTGGTTCTAAAAACGTAGAGAGGAAAATTCTCGAAGAAGTATGGTAATTTGACAGATTTGTTTAAGGAACTGGATCCCTCAGATAGGAAAAAAAATTCATTTGATGATCGAATCTCTTCACCTAAAAATTGCATCAAGTAGCAGTAGAATTTTAAATCAAATATCATGGAATAAGTTCTTAGAGAATTCTTTCAAAATAATCTTTTTTTTTTTTTTTTTATCTCAGATTTTTAGTATTTGACAAGATTTTCTCATCTCAACTTTGAAAACTACGAATCATTGGTGAAGCTCTGATGGAAGATCGTTGTTCACTTGTTTTATTCGAAAGGGTAAAAAAAGCATCGGAAGCAACAAAAGACAATATCCTTATATTTCGCTCTTATTTCGAGTAGTTCTTCCATAGTTTCTTATATTTTCTTGTTTGTTTTTTTCTTCAGTTTAATTCTCTTTCGTATTATCTTGTATCTTCTCCTTCGAGGTTTTAGAACGTTTTCTTTCTTAGTATTCATTTCCTTAACAATGCTGGCAACCCTTCTTAGCCAGTTTTTAATACTTAATAGATATATTTGATAATATAGCATTATTACCTGTTTCTAAAAGACAATTTCCAGATTGTTATGATCCTGCTATTGAAATTATTCTTTTACATTAGTACTGGTTTTTAATTCTGTTGCTGAAGTTTGTTATGCCTGTTTTCTTGGTTTCATATGAAATTAGGAAGTTAAGGCTATGTTTTTGGTTAGATGTAAATTAAATAATTTTTCATTTCTTTCAAAGCTATTTTAGGAGCAATGATAATGTATGTTATAAAGCATAATCCAAGAATGAACGTCGTTCAGTTTGAAAAGTAAAAGAAATCTCTTTCTATGCTTGAGGATGAAATCCTCAAGCATAGAATATCAAAGCATAAAATATCAACGTTCAAATCCTCTACAGATTTTATACTCATAATATTATTTATTATACGCAGTGTCCCAACCAGTCCTTACACAGTAGTTATTTTCGCAATCGTTGGTCGTAGTTATGTACACTGCACCTACAGTTGAAAAAAAGAAAAGGAAAATATGTTGCCATAAATTAAGAAGTTCGCCAAGTAAACTATTCTTGGCGAAGACTGAAAAAAATTTGCCAAGATAAATTTTTGAATTGCTCCGTAAATTTTGCACCAAATTTTACAAAATTTAATATTTAGGCATAATTTGAGCCGTAGAATCGAAGTATGGGAAAACATTGGCATGCCATTTCATAAAAGTCCGATTTTGTGTCAAATTATCTATGTTAGAATGATTCTATATATAAATTTAATATATATCCTAAGTCGCGCTTTCGAGACATGAAAAACGGAATTAGAATTTCGGCAATTGGCCTAGCAGAACGAAAGATATAGAACTGAACCCTTTTTTTTTCTCGCAGTGTACGTCAAGTTTAAAAAATATTTTAAATGATGCAAAGATTCATTTTTGGCATTTTTTAATTAAAAGGCGTCAGTTTAGTACAAATTACGAATTCTTACATTTACATGCTTCTCCAATCCCTATAGTTATATTTAGAAAAGTTTTGTGCTTTAATAAAAATGAAACATAAAAAAAATTTTACTCTCGTATCACCAAAATTGACGGAGATATTCGATATTATGAATATCATATTCAGGGGCCGTACATAAATTGAAGAGCCAAATGTTTGTATTTGTATATGATTAAAAATAAAGTATCATTTAGAAAAAGACTTTTTATAGATTACGTGACAAACATTTTTATGCAAATTATGATAAATATTTATTGATCAATATATTTTTTTTTTTTCCGAAACGAAGATCTTACTCACAGAATCTTATAGGAAATGTTGGGAGGCTTCGGTATTGGCACGTAGCCAATTCGTAATGTTATTTGCATTATTTAAAAATGGAAAATATTTGTTCCGTAATAATGAATAAGATCAACAGATATTGATTTTAAATTTATACTACTTCATGAGAATACTGATAACGTACTTTTAGGTTTTGAAAACTTATAAATTACTTATGCAAAAATTCTATTGGTATGTCAAATGCTAACAAAAATCAAAATAAAGACCATACTAAATCTCAAAAGAATATTGTTGAATGGCATTTAAGGAGACGAATCAACCTCGAATTATTCTAATTTATTTATCAACCGACAACTGAATACAAATTCAAAATGAAAGCAAATATCCAAATTTTGAAATTAATTATCTCAGTTAATTTTCGTCGCACGGAAGTCAAACTTCTGTGTTTTATTTTTTAAAACGGGTACAAAATTTT